TGGTAGTGAAGAGAGAAAGGAGAGGAGATGAGAGAACTGCTGCCGTCGCCACCTTCCCCGTCGTCTATCGCCACCATCACAGCCACGACCTCCACTCCCTACCACCACAAATAACATCAACACCACACCACACCACACCCGCCGCTCAGATCTTCTTAATGTAGATAATGACGCCGACGCCGACACCGATGCTGATGCTGCTCGTGTCTTGCAGTCTCGCCGGCGCTGTAGAGAGCGGAGAGAGATGTAGAGAGAGGAGGGAGGGAGGAAAATAATTGGGTTAGGGGAATAGTGGTGGGTATTAGATTAATTTAGTTTTAAAATATTATTATTAATATTTTAATGTTTAATTATCATCTGATTTTTGTAAAAATAAATTTTGAATCTGATATTTGAAATGTTAAGTTGAAAATTCTGGTTCCATGTAATTTCCTCAAATTTTTACGTGTTACCCATTTGAGAAATAAATAAAATTTTCATCTTTTTAACAACTATAATTTTAGAACAGTTGAATTAATATCATTTATTCCATCTCATAAGAAGTATCTAAGTTTCAGAGAAATTGCAATGTGCCCAAATTCAAAAGCTACAAACTTGTAATTTTTATTTACATTACATTTTGCATCGTATTATTCTCCACATATATTAATGGCACTTTTCTTTAGATAGGGTGGCAAATGGACCAAGCGACTCACAGGTTCGGATCTTCCCTCTTTGACCTAGCGAACAGTTTGACCTCGATTTGAGATTAACCATGGATTGAGTTGAGTTCAAATTTTTTTAGAATCGACTTCTTTTTGAGCTTGTTTTATTTATGTCTTTTAGAAAAAAGAGCCAGCTCATGGGTTCGTGGACGACTCAACTCGATCCACGAGGCCCACGAGTCAAATTGATGTACCAAAAGCTTATACGGAAGAATAAAACTCAAACTTGCCGATTCGTTTGCAAATACCAAAAAAGAGAATATTTTAAGAAATTTCTTAATCCTGTTTATTAAATTCAAATAAATTAATTGACATAAGGCTTATAACTTGTACTTAAAGCAGTAAATAAAATATAGAAAACAACCAAGTTTCTAAATAACGATTAACTCTAGATTATGATGAAATGAAAAAAAAAAAAAAAAAAAGAGTTTATGAAGCCCTAATTTATGGAATTTGGCCAAAATGACCATACATCAAGGGTAAAGTAGTTTTGCCCATTCGACCATTTCCACTAAAAATGGAAACAAAATTCTTTGAAAACAGATGCTCCTAAAAGTAATTTTTTGGACCCCGATCTCACTTTTCCTTGAAACCTTTTTTCTTTTTGCATTGCATTACAAAATGATCAAATCAAGCCTAACTTGTGGATACAAGCCAAAGTCGAGTGTCTGAGTAAAGAGCCAGCTCGACTAGATCCGTTGAGAGCCCCTATAATTTCTAGAAGATAAATAATATATATTACACTTAGAATATAATATTTTAACTTGACTTTGAAAGTCTTCGTTTCAAATTAATTGGTTGACACATTAAGTAATTAAAAATCTTTGACCGAATAAAGCTAGCACGTTTTTCACAATGTCGTGACATCAATGATTTCATATCACTAATTTATTAATATTTACAGTAACATATATAAATTAGGTTTTATCACAATGCATGCAAATAATTAAAAACGGTCAAT